CAGGCTCTCGCGGACGCGACAACTTGGAAATTTCCGAGTTGTCGCTTCCGAGTTGTCGCTTCCGAGTTGTCGCTAGGCTCCAGGCTCTCGCGGACGCGACAACTTGGAAATTTCCGAGTTGTCGCTTCCGAGTTGTCGCTTCCGAGTTGTCGCTAGGCTCCAGGCTCCCACGGACGCGACAACTTGGAAATTTCCGAGTTGTCGCTTCCGAGTTGTCGCTTCCAAGTTGTCGCTAGGCTCCAGGCTCCCGCGGACGCGACAACTTGGAAATTTCCGAGTTGTCGCTTCCGAGGCTTCCGAGTTGTCGCTAGGCTCCAGGCTCTCGCTAGTTTAAAGTTGTCATGGTAACCTTTTCCACGAGGTTCTTACGTGAGTGAAGTCCTTGGGTTAAATTTCAGTTGTCACGTTGGCGTTCAGTCTCTTGATCCTAACTCTAACTTCAAACAAAAGAATCTTTACCATCTATATCTTGCTTCTTCAATAACGGTAAGGAGAATATACACTAAAATCGTCCTACATAAAGATCGACACTCAAAATTGTATATTTGGATTTTTAGATGAGAATTTGCGTCCGGTCAAACGGCTCAAGCAAAGGCCAGGTAAGCTTTAGCTGTACTAAGTCATGAATTGAAGAGCGCCTTACATCACCGTGATAAAATGACGAACTTTGATTTCAATATTATGTTAAAACAAAGCAGTTCTTTTAAATTGTAATACCAAGGATCTAACTGGACCTAACTATTCAATCAGTAGTTCTCTGTTTGCTGCATAAAGTTACGGTAGAGACACGCCCGTCATAGTTTTAAAAACTTTTTAGCGTTCTTTTGATAACTAAAAATGCTTTAAATAAATAAATAAAAAATGATTTTAATACAAGAGGAAAACTACTGAGAACCTCGTAGCTTTATCAGTGAAACACGAGATAGCAAATTCACAGCTTCGCAAAGGTCAAATGACCTGTACCATGTGTCCAATACCTGGACACGCGTTATTATTATTACCATATCACTTTTTTTGTTCGTAAGTCTAGTATTGAATACCGTATATAGTTTTTCCCGTATGATTTACACATAAGCGTTCAATATTCACAAAGCGATGAGTTTCTTGTAATGTTTTGCTTTGTGCTTGAACCGGAAAAAGGTTTCAGCTCGTATTACATTTCAACTGCGCTCAATGAAGTCCGACTTTTGTCACCTTTTATATCCGAGCAGGAGACTGCGTACAAGTTTCTCGGTTTTCACATGACGTCATTAGTCCAAAAAATTCTAAAATCAAACACACAACATTGCATTACTAAAATACCTTGAAGAGCATGATAGAAGTTCTCTCTGAATGTTTTATCTTTTTTTTGGTGTTCATTCGTTGTCTAAGATATTGAAACAAACCAAAAAAGCCTATTAAGATCTAAAAACAATTATCTTCTGTTTTATAGTATTTTATAGTATATTTCAACAAACTGTATATGAAAGATATTTATGAATATATTTATAAACATCAGTTACATCAAACAGTTAGGTAAAATCATTTGGTTCTTAAGACAAAGCTTTTTGTAGGTAGGGGAAGATCCAGGGRGGGGGGGGGGGGGGGATTGGCTGGCTAGCCACCACCTCTTTTATTTGAAAAAATAGAAAGACTTAAAAAGAAATAAAACAACAGGATTATAGTATAACGTAAAATATGTATAATTACTTTGAAAAAAATATAGAGTGAGAAGAACTGTTTGATGCAACTGATGTTTATAAATATATTCATAAAATTAATATCTTTCATATAAAAGTTTGTTGAAAAGTCCGAAATATCACAGGTGCGCCCGAGATAGCAATAAACGATAATTTCACATTGTAAGATACTTTAAAATTAAATTTTGATAAAAAAATTCCTGGATCCGCCCCTGTAGGAATTTATTGACAAGTCTGATAACATAGTGGTCACCCGTCTTAAGGTGGGAGTAACCACAAAAACAATGTCTTTCAAATCTTTTAAAAGTTAATATTTTTTTAAAGGACTAGCAATGTTTCCTTGTTTTTTTCTTCACTTATTGTATAATTTTTTAGTTTAAGACATTTAGTGTACATATTTATATTTTTAAAATTAAATGGTATATATTTTTGTTTTTTAGTAAAGTTGCAATTCCATTGTTTATTGTACAATCCCAAAAATTAGAGTGCACGCCAAAAAAGCATATTGAAACAATTCCTAACTATCAGCATCTATAATAAGATTTAGTTATCAACTAACTAAGAATTCACTGGGGCACGAACACAATGCCAGAAAGGAAACTTGTCTTTGTTTATGTCTCACTAAATTCTTAGTTAGTTGATAACTAAATCTTATTAGGCGCTAATTAATTAAGAATTGTTTCATGCTTATGCAGTGTGCACTCTAGCATTATATTAGCATTGATTACAACTTACTGTAAGTTCCACAATATTCCCAGAAAGATACTGGACTCTTACATTTTATTCTACCGGTACTTTTATTTGCGATTATTGCAAAATAAGAACTTGTTCTCAGTCTGCTTAGACATGCTGCCAATCATTAAAAGCTGACACAAGTATAAGGGTAAAGGAATTCTTATGATTTTGAACCTCAAAAATGCCATTTCAAGCAAGGGCTTCTTGCATGAAAGTAGAGCTTGCATTTTTCACATTTTGTAAAGAGGAAAAGAAATGGACAAAACATTTCCCCCTCCCTAGCTAATGACTGCAGTCCATTAATTCCCTATTTTACATACATACATCAAAACTATATCTAATCTATATCCAATGAACAACTTTTTTAAGGTCATCAATTGTCCAGACAGCTTTCAAGATCTTCTGCAACGGTGTATGGAAATAGGAGATGGGATTTCGAATCCCATACTATTTTCACATACAGGAGATATCATCTCCTCAATAGAAGTTGTGAGGTACACATTCAAATATGCATAATTAAGAATTCATATCAATGAAAGTAGCTGTTAGCCACTTGCAAGCTGTAATTAAGTGTTTCATTTTGTCAAAATAAATTTTATACCATAAAGACATTTTTTTAAACATTTTGTCAAAATAAATTTTATACCATAAAGAGTAGAGAAATAACTCTCTGAGGATGTGTTAACTGTTGTAAATTTATTATTGTGTCTGTGCTTATTTTGCAGGGATAATGACATATTATATATAGGAAACGAAGGAGACACTTTTCAAGGAGATAACTTGAAAGGTAAGGCATTAGTTCAGCTCATTTAGACTGTTATTCTTTATGTGACAACAAAGTAAATAGAAATATTTGAATGAGATGAATTTTATTTTATTTTTTTCTGCATTAATGTTTTCTGAAGTGCAAATTTATTTCATTTAGCAAAAAACCGTGCAGAGGAATTTAAACTTTTTTCTGAAAAGAAAAAAGATGAAAGAGAGCAATTCTTCAAGAAGACAAATAAAGACGCCAAACTTAGACCTAAAAAGGAAAAGGAGGCAAAAGAAAAAACATGCAAGGTACTATAAAATATACTCTACTCACAATACAAAGTCAAGCAAAAGAAGTGAATAAATAATTAATTCAAGGATAACCAATACTGAAAAACTTAACATGCCAATAATTATACTACTTTGCTTTCTAAAATTTAATTTTATTCTAGCTATGCATTGGGATGATGGTTTGGTCTTCTTATCAGCGGAAGAGAAAGTCCAAGCCAAGACTTGTCTGCAAAAAGCAAGTTGGGAAGCAAATGAATGCTTGTGTGCATGTACAAGTAAATGCCACTGCATCAATAATTATTGATAAAGCTGTGGCTGGCTTCAAATTGCTGGACCAGTCACTGGATACAGAGGAGGAGTACATACTCTTGTATCCTGACTGCTCTATAGTTGACAAGTTACCACAGTCCCAGGAGGTCTTCACTCCAAAGAAATATGTTGAGCTGCTGGGGACATTTTACAGCAAGGTGAAGCTGTATTTGATCCTTAAAAAAGACTGGATATGTAAGTATATTGACAAGAAAATTGGACCCATGGTGGTCTCAGAGAAGGGAAGAGTGGATTATTATAAAATAGGAAGCAAGGGGTGGTCATCATGAACATTTTCTACGGGATTCTATCTGCCGAATAAGGATAGCGCTACTCACCCTTCGTATAACTGGTCCCTGACTAGATAACTAAAACAAATAAAGCATACATTATTAGTAATTGAATTATTAATTTATTTAATGCTTTATTTATGCTATTTTTTTTTCCTTCAGCATACAGAAGTTATTCTACAATATATGATCCTTTGGTATGGAAATTTATGAGATAACTCTTATCATATTTTTAGATACGGGTAGTTATTTTTAATTAACATATATATACAATATGTACCCCTTGTATACCTGCACCTTATAGAATGTGAGTGAAGCACTTTTTGTGCCCTACGTAAACACTATCGTCACTTTTTTATAAATTTAAAGGGTAATTCTAAGTTTTTTTTTCTTGCCTGTATTCTAGCAAATCAAAAAAGGGTGTTCAGAGATATTTATGATTGTCCATTCATTTTTTTAAAGGACTCTGACTCTGATGGATCTGCCCCTAAACAAAGTCGAGGTGACAGTGATTTGGACGATGAAGAGGTATATATTCATCTTGAAAATGTTGCCTTTTGATTTGCCATAAAATGCTTTTGTAAAAGCACTGAGAACAGACTATAAGTGCTATATAACTGTTACTATTATTATATGATTAATTATTACATTATTATTATCATTTATTGAATTTTTATATAGTTATGCATATCAACTCTAATAGATTTATAATAAATTGTAATATATCATATATATACATATGAGTGCGTAGCACCAAACTCGGAGTCACAGCAAAATCTTGCCTCTTTGATATCATATATATAACTAGCTCTACACTTTATGTGTAATGAGCACTCGTTAATGGGATCAGTCACTTCCTCATGTGATAATATATTATATATTTATTATAGAGTACAAACACTAAAACTGTGCAACAGCAATACCACTGTCTTAACTACTGCTAAATTATGCTAATTCTATTGTTTTCTATTGTTAATTAACACTAATTTGTATTAAATAGTGGAAAGTGTTACACGTTTAATGTTTGTACACTATATTTTTATATTTTTTAATATATACTGTACATGTTAGGTTTTGAAAATATAGATTAATATACAATTATCACTTATCATTTTTTTATTTTTATTATTAATATTTTGTTATTATGTTATGCTTAATCAATTGTCATAAGTGTTGGTATTGGTTAATAGTTTTTCTATTACATGTAATCAAACTAAGGTATAAACTAGCTACAATTTATGTCCACATGAGCATCTTATTGTAAGACATTATGCTGCTAACAATGAATGTTATTCAGTCAATTTCTTATTATATAATTTTGGTTTTAACTGTGGGGTCCACAGTGTACTAATTGGTTCACACTGCGATGTTGTCTCTCCCCCTATTATCTTCACTTTTTCTTAATTTTCCCTTATGTGCAATTAAGTTAATAAAATAATACCCAAAGGAGCTGGTATATTCTGGTAGAGTGCTCGCACTAAATGCGTGAAATATAAATACTACAAAATAGGTGATAAATTATACAAATTCCTTTGTTTCCTATTGTATAATCAACACTATTTAGTTGTAATTAGTACTATTTGTTTCACGCTTTAAGTGCAAGGACTCTATAGCACAATACAACAAGGTCCCTCATAAAAACTCAATTGTCAACAAGAAAAATTAGTGAAACTGCAATGTTTTTATTAATATTCACAGGTGAATTTCAAAGGTGCCACCCCTGCCAAATTCAAGGATGGTCAGGTACATTTCTTACCTAAAACATAACATGAATCAGATAATTAAATTTGAGTTACAAAGAAATCAATTTTCATTTTATGTGTTCGTACAGTGCTACATCTGCAATAAGGACAAGCCAGACATTTGTCTGAAAGAATGTGATGATGTCTTCCATAGATTCTGTATCAGCGAATGGGTTGAGGTGAGTGTATCTTTTTAATATCTTCACAGCAAGATATGATGGATGAACAATGATCCACATGTAATCGTTCTGGCTCAAATTTAAGTTTGACCTTTTTGCCAATCTATCTAGTAGTATGTACTTACATGTAGTTACTAAATAACTGCAGGTTGATAAGAAGCAACAGGAGTGCAATTAATGTCAGACTTTACCATTTACATGCATATATTGGTTCATATATCAATTCTTTTCTTTTTTTTCACTTAAATGTGAACGTTTCCTTTGTATTTCAGAACTGCAAACCTGATAACCCAAAGTGCCCAAAATGCAAAGTAGAGTTTGACGGGAAGCCATACTCTTCAGAGGTGATTGATTTTTTTGGTCTATCTTTCACTGATGTCAATTGGTAATATTCAGTTGGATTAATAATCAAGAAATGTTGAATAGACGGGACTTTTCATTAAGACATGCCCTGAAGGAAATCTTTAGTCTGAGCAATAATATCACAGTGAATAGATATGATATATTTCTCTCAGCACCTTTTTCATGTTGTTTTTTTTTCAACATATAATTTATAGTAATTATCAAACTATATATTCAATTATGTAATGGTCATAATATTGTTTGTCAGAAAGAAAAAGATAAAGGATGGACATTCCGCCACAACAGCCTCCCTAAAATTGTCCACCAGGTTTCAGATAATGAATCATCTGAAGAGGAGGTAAACAGTCAATATGTAGAATCATAAAGTATACAATAATGTTAATAGGTACATGGTTGTATAGAGCAAACACAGGAAAACCATGAAATAAAATCAAACTAAATAGTCTAACAAATAGCGGCTATTTAGAGACAATTTGTCAGTATCAATGAACCAGAACACAATGAAGATGAATCCACATGGGACTATTTTTGATTCATCTTTCTCTTGCATTCTGGTTCATTGATACTGACAAATTGTCTCTAAATTGAAGCTATTTGATAGTATTTAGTTTGATTTTATTTCATGGTTTTCCTGCGTTTGGTCTAGTCATAGTTCTTATATAATTCTGGTCCCCTTGTGTACACATTATGAGTTAATTACTGCAGTTAAGTCTTTTCCAGTGATAAGAACAACTATAAAGAAATAACAAATCTACACTTCATAGACAGTGTGTAAGAAATTAAAACCCCAGTCAATCCAAGTTTTAATCCATCACATGCATTAACTTAGGCAAATACCTAACCCTGACCCTAACAATATAATTAATAGTAATTGGAGTCTAACAGCAAGTACACAATGCCATATGCCACTGCTTTCAGGGCATTAACATCGAGTACTTATTTTTAGAATGATCCCCTTCCTGCTTCAAATGCCGACAATGTAATTGGAATCCAGCCATCAACCTCCACGTCTGATGGAAATGAAGTCAGCATATCCCATCCAACCGTCAACCAGCCATCAACCTCCACGTCTGATGGAAATGAAGTCAACCAACCATCAACATCAGACACAGCTCATACAGAAGCAACAAATGCCATTGTGGAAATTACTTCCAGACCACAAAGGTAGGCTATAACCTAGCATGATTTTAGTTAGTATTTTGTTTTGCCATTAAAACATTCAATTGATTTTTGTTATTTCTACATACTTTTAGGATCAGAACAATTGAAATCAAAAGGGTCAATATATTGTTTGATCTCATTCATGCTTTCAAAGATGAAAGCATTTCAGAATGCTTTGTAACTGTGTCGATGATAAACGGCCAAGGTCAGCGAGAGCTGGGCAGCGACCTGGGAGGCGTGTTTCGCGATTGTATTTCCGCCTTTTGGAATACATTCTACGAGTCCTGTACCATTGGCGAAGACGAAAGGGTGCCATCCCTCAGGCACGATTTTCAGAAGGAGGAGTGGGAGGCCATTGGCCGCATTCTTTTGAAAGGTTTTGAGCAAGTTGGGTACTTCCCCATCAAGATAAGCAAAGCCTTTTTCGTTAGCCTATTTTTCAATGAATCAGCTGTCCAAGGTAACATTCTGAAAGATTCCTTGGTAAATTATTTATCAAGGGATGACAGTGAACTTGTAAAGCTTGCAATTGAAGGTGAACTCCAAGAAGAGCAAAGAGAAGAGTTCATCGAATTGCTGGAAATGTTTTGCTGCAAGCGCCTGCCAAAGCCGGGAGAGGAAAAAGAACTTCTTAGTGAAATTGCCCATAAAGAGCTTATACAGAAGCCTGAATATGCGGCTCATTGCATCAAAAAGACCTGCCTCCCACTGATGAAGTTCCCTGATTTCCAAAGCGTTGAATCACTTTTGTCGATATRCAAAAGAGCCCAACCAACCACTAAACAAGTTGTAGCACTTCTTGAAGCAACAYCAACAAATGCTGCAGAACGAGAGGTGTTTGTTTATWTGAARCGCTRCACACGTGGTCTAAAAGATGACATGATTGGCAAATTCTTCAGATTCTGCACTGGGTCAGATGTTCTTTTGCCATCCATGACGAAAATAGCAGTCAATTTCACTTCTCTCGATCGAGCTGCTAGAAGACTTGTCGCACACACTTGTGGCCTTGTTCTTGATGTTCCATGCACATATAACTCATTCCCAGAGTTTCGAGAAGAGATGAACAGCATCTTAAATAGTGGTGTGTGGGACATTGACTTCATATAATCATGACAAATTAATTCTAAGTTTAATCATGGATATATCTTCACGTCTTGAAAGTTCTTTAAAAAAACAACTATGCCATTTTGTATTGTATAACAAAGCATGATTTATTAGGCAAGATGGGGGTTGAAGACCTCACATTTTTTTATAAACCAAGAACATAGTCTTGCCCATCCTTTAATATACATTATATTGTATTATTTAGATGTTTAGTGTTTCTTTAGCTCAATAAATTCTATAACGCTTTGTATACAAAATGGCACTGCTGTGGATTGTCTGATAAACAGATATAGTCAGTTGAGTGAGAATTTGACAAAACACACTCATCCAACATTTTATTGAGCTCTAATGCTGAAATTCACAAGGCATTATTTTGTCTCATTCCATCCAACTAAAGAAATTGACAGGCAATATCATATAAAAATTTCAGCATGTTATCTGGGAATGCCAAGACAARCAAAAGCATCTTGTCTTAATAAAAATAAAACTTAGCAATGTTGAAAAGCCATATAGAAAGCATGGTTTGGCAGCATGTACAAAATTACAAAGTTACTGAAAAATAGTAAAACTCATATTTGTGCCTTCAACAATTCCATAGCAGAATTGAAATTTTTGTGCAAGGAAATTGTATGTGGTTCATGCTCCAGTTTATACTTCAAAGTAAATTTCCTCCTTATATTAAATTGTTTTTATTTTTTGTGAATATAAAAATGTCATGTACATTATAACTTTCTAACATTAACAGAAAATAATTCATTCATTGGGAAATATCTTAAGTTAATCAATTCATATATGTTATTGTTCAAGTCCAAAACTGCAAGTTGTGGATAAGCAGATTATACAATATAGAAAAGGACAATGGAGTGCAAAGAGGTCATTTCATCAAAGATAGTATCAAATGAGTTTTTCTTTGTACTCATAAATGTGAATCACACTGGCATAAATGAATTAAGTCCAATTAGAGCAGCACTAAATAGAGAAAGTCATTTTATTCAGTGCAGGCAATCTTGTGGGCATGGAAATAGTTACATACTAATAATATAGCTTTCCCTTTCAATCTTTGATGACGTAACCTATTTGATCTATACATTCTTTCAATTGCCARTTGCCAGGGTGTTTATAATATACAAAATATATACAAAAAAAAAAAAAAAAATTCACATGATTACATAACTTTAACAACTACATATAGTACTTAATCTGATTGGTTGGTTGTGACAGGCATAAGTGAGACTGAACGTTTCAATGGATGTTTTTAAAAAGGAACTATATAATTATTTATATTACAATAAAATAACATTTTTCTTTTAAATGATGTATGATATATGAGTATGTACATACTTAACTGATGTGACTTTGATATTTGCCTGGCTACTATCATCCCACAAGGAACAAATATAATTCTATGGCTTCATTCCAATTGCATGGCAGATGTTTTCCTTCCCTCTGCAGCACATTTTCAAAAAAAATGTCACTTCTTTCCTCAGTTTTTGAAATATTGTCCTTGCAAATGGAGTTTGCCCAAACAATGTCATCTTGTGAAACAACAGTCTTGAAATCATGTGTGCCTGTTGGGAAATGGGTGGGTAGTTTCAACAAAAGTCAATTAAAACTGGAACTAGAAACAAATGTATTTTTACTGACGGATGTTGTTCTTGCTATGCCTTGAATTGTTTCTGGTTCATTCACAAAGATTGTTTTAATTATATATTAAGTAGTACTTTCTCAATGGAGTGTTCAGCTTATGACAACAAAAAAGAAAAAGATGTATATATTTAACTGTTTAGAAGATGTGTTTGTAGATTGTTGAAGAAGATTGTTGTACACAAGGAAGATAACAATTATTATATGTTTTCTTGGGACTATTGTTCAAACCTTTACATTGTGCAATGTGTACAGGACACGATTGTGTATGTTAATAATTGAATGAAAATGAAGAAAATTACTCACCATTTTCATGGGGAAGAAGATACAAAATGTTAGGCTTTCCGTGTGGGCATTCGGCTCTCTTTGATGGCCTTATGGTGTGGTTGTTCCAACAATTAACAAATCTATTCAATTCATCTTGAATTATGTCCATCAAACAGAACCGCAAGCAATTTCTTCATAGAAAAAAAATGAAGTATCAATGCAAGATCACAACTAGAAAATATATAACTACATTGAAGTAAAATCAACTTTGCAATAAAAACTTGACAGTACTACTGTAGACACCTACATGTGAAAATCATTTCCAATATCCAAAGCACCAAATTCAACAAGATCCTGTAAGAAAATAAATAAGACTTGAAAACAAATTGGTTTGTAAAAAAAATTTGCAAATTCATTCACAACAGCCAGACGAATGTTTACTAAATTGTTTTTAAAAATATCATTTTAATAATTTCCCTTTCGTATAATTACACAAACCATTCTTCTATTGTTTTAAGGCATCTACCCACTATGTAAACATGCTGTGATGTCAGTTATGCCATAGAGTAATTCATCATGCAATAGACCAATTTGTTACATGTAATGACTTTTATACAACTTTTACACACTTAAAAATGTTTCAGCTCAAGGCATTTTGTAGGGTTTTTATCCTTGATAATGCTCAATTTCTATATCATGCCTTTAACCACGTACTATGCAATTTCATGCTTTTGGTGTGATTTGCCTAAAATTGACAAATCACAAGAGTCTCAAATTGGGAAAAAAACTGTCCTCACACTTATTCACTGACCAACCTCCTCCCCACAATAATATAATTATATACCTTAAGTGTCTCTATCCACCAGCCTGAGTAGTTCTTCTTTAGCACTGACCACCAAGCCTCAATACGCTAAAATTGCATATTACATGCAATAGCAACAGAAAGTGTTATTCATGATCTTAAATATCTTCAAAAGCAAGACATCTCATGCAAAAATCAAGATATAGAAATATTAAACAAATAATAGTTAATTTGCATATGTTCATAGGAAATCTGGAATGGTTTTGGTGTTTTCTCAGGAAATTCAGAAAATTTCACATTACTTTGTGAAATTTGTTTAATACATCACATTGTTGTTGTAAACAGATCAAGGTGATATTTTATCACCTACCACATGCAACTTTTTCTCATTAGTCGTTGAACATAGCTATAGTTCATCAAGCACTTATAATCTCATAAAGTCGCTGTGATATACTGTTAATCAACAAATTCTGTTTAATGGAAATAATGAAACGATACAGTATCGTTTCATTACTTTCCATTAACCAGAATTTGTTGATTAACAATATGCTTTTGAGCACTTAATCCGTGCAACTGTACAAGCTAAATAGTTCTATTAAGTTGTATTTAGTAAATTGTGCATGTGGTACGCAAATTAAATTGAATTGATACAAATGAAGCATTCAATACTGTCTTGCTTCAGGTCCACTTTTAGTACAAATAAGTACTACTTAGATTTTGTACATTTGCACGGATTAAGTGTGATCACTCTTAGTACTGTCCAAATAAAATAGTTACCTGGTTAAAAACTGACTTTCCATATCTATGAGATGCATCACCTGCAAACTGATCTGTGCTGTTTCTCCGAAATGTACATTGTAATGCTGCTATCAAAGTGTTTTCAGAACCAGGATCTGTTCGCAATATTTGTGGGCAACCTTATTGTATAGAGTAAGACAGTAGAAGTGAGGACTGTTTGTTAAATAAAAGATATATTTGAATGACAACATTGATAGAATAAAATGGAGGAAGAGTACATTAAAAGCCCTATGCACAACCAAGCACAAAGAGGATAGGTAAGGCAAGACATAACAACATTGAACCCGCAACATACCACCTATATGTTGTACACACTTCAGATAGTATCCACATATCACTGCTGGATTTTTATTTGTCGGCCCAACTTCAAGCCACATTATACGTCTTGAGTATCTTAAAAGATATCACTGACAATAAATAAATATTACATTACATGTTTTTTAGATAAATCGAAATGGTAAACATACCCATCAATGCACCCATGAATGTCAAAGCCATATGGTCTTAGCTTGTCATAGCCATCTACATGCCATGCATAATTTGGTCCCTTGGATTAGCAATAAAATAATATGCTGTTCAAACTATCCACAAAATGTATTTTAGAAAAAGTAGTTTACTTAGCAATACAAAACCTGCAAAGTACTTGTCTTTGTTTATTTATTTTTTAAATTATTTAAACTGATTTTTTCTTCAAGTATTTGGATTTACCTTGTTTCTATATACCCTACGCTTCAGGCAATTACTTTTCCTCATTTCTGTTCCAGTAGGATCCATTTCTTTAAGGATTTTCATGACTTTGTCTCTACATATTGCATATATGTACAAATGTTGAAAAATGTCCCAAAAATCATTGGTATGTTTACCGTTGGAAAGCAAGCAAATTAAACTTTAGAAATTTGCAATCTACAAACATCCATTTCTTAACTTACCTTGCAACATTGACTCCATAGTCCTGGCGAAGTTTGTTCCACATTCCTCTATACCCTAACAAGGAACCTGGTCCATTAAGTTCAGTCTATGAAAAGAAAGAAAGCAGTAACAGATTGAACAATGTTAAAAATATGCACCCAGCTCAAATACACATGTACAGATTTAAGAACCAACCTGGATGGCTCTTCTGATGGCAACATCAGAAATCTCTACATTTCTTCGTCTCATCTTTTTTTTCCTTAAAAATCTTTTGAGAGTGGAAATGCTGAAAAAGTGCAGTGTTGGGAAACAATATTGAAATATGATGTGTTGCTAGAAA